TGTAATTGAGCAGGAGGTATCTCTTTTATTCTATCAGATCACTTTATTCCACATAACTTAGATCATGTAGACTTACCGTATTATTTTTCTTTTAATATCTCAGAAGAATTTTGTCAACTGTGGGTCGTATTAACTCCTCAGTATATCTGACAAAATGTTTTTAATATTCTTGCTCTTATTCAAATTCTATGTAAGGATTTGCTGTACTTACTATTGTAAACACACACACACACAAAAAAAAAATTTGGCAACTGAAATCAACCATTTTACTTTGTTCACAAAACAGGGGATCAAGAATAGAGAAGAGCTTGGCTGCATAGTTCTCACTTGAGATCTTTTAGATGATTGTAGTAAGGTGTTGATTAGAGGTGCAATAAACCCAAGACATTTCACTTACATGTAGACAACTGAAGTTAGCTCTCAGTTGAGAGGTCAGCTGTAGCTGTTAACCAGAGCACCTGTATGTGGCCCCTCTAGTTTGGCGGTCTCAGGTAGTGTGACTTCTTACCTGATGGCTTCAGTGTCCCAGCGAACAAGGCAGAAACTACATTGCATTTTTTTGCCTAGTCTGGAAAGGAACACAGTATCACTTTAGACACAATCTAGTGGCTGCAAGAGACTAACAAGTCACCCAGATTCAAGCAGAGGGGACATAGAGCCCATCTCTTGATGCAAAGTCAAGTTCACTATGTAAAGGTATATGGGATGAGAGATACTATTGCAGCTGTGTTTGGAAAACACATGTTACAGAATTCAGTGTCATCAGTGGTCTTAGTGTGTACACCAGAGAAAACAGCAATGCTGCCTAAGGTCTTTAAAGATAAAATTAGCCTCACATATGTATTATTTTCCAGTTACTTTGAATAACAACAAATTTTGTTACTAACTCCTTTTATAAGCTGCCACTTTGTTACATGCTTTGAAGGAAAAGAGTTAATAGCCCTAATACAAGGTTTTGATTATCTGCTGAAGAAAGAGAATTAATAATAATGAGAGGCTTATTAAATTCAGGAGGAAGTGGTGGCATACAAATTATTCCTACCTAGTAAAAATATTTTTTTAAAAGAATAGCTCTTATAATTGCCATTCAGGATAATCAGGAAAAAAAAAAGAGAAGCTTTTAATTAATTGAAGAAAACAGAGGAAATAGAGTATTTGGAATACATATATGTGTGTGTGCGCACGTGCATGTGCTAGACTGTGGTAAGTACTATACCTATATCTACATCTCTGTTATATCCATATCTATTCCATACACACATCAACCTGCAGTTGAAGTAGAGACTCAATAGCTTCCCAAAGTCGTACAGCTAATTTGTAGAAGAGCTCAAGTCTGAAGTCAGTATTCAGTGATTTCAAAGCCTGTGCTCATTCCACATAATTTATATTAAAATACTAATATAAGTACATATTTTTTCTTAATAAAATGGTCATCTGAATGCTTCCTCAAAGTAACTTTTCATTTATAACATGTTTTCTAAAAAGTTTCTCAATAAAATTCTTCAGCTACTAAATATGCAACTTTCATAAGAGAAACACAATTTCCTTGAAACACACTCATTTGTTTCATATCAGCTTTATCATCATTAAACATTCCCAGGAAATTCAACATGTATTTGCGAAGGTGAGAATCTTCACACTTTATAACTAAATTCATTTAGACATGGCTTGGAAGTCCCATCGTAACTTGATAAAAGGGAAAGTTAAAAGCAAAAAGAAACTTGATTTTTTTTTTCTCCTTGAATAAAATTTGTCCACTGGATAGGTAATTGCTTCTTCAAATCCTTCCAAATGGCTTTATTTTGCTTGGCTATCCAAAAATTATACAAATCAGCTTATATAAGATTAAAGAGAGAAATCTGAAAATGTGTATCCATTAGTACATTTTCACAATTTATACAATCAATTCTCCAAAATCTTTTACCATTTCAGTATTTTATATTAAAATACTTCCATTGCATTTCAATAATACCTTAATGAATCATGTGTTTTCAGAATAGTGAATTATTATTACTCCCCTAGGATAACATTTGCAGGTCTTAAATGCTCTGCTATACATAGTTTATGTCCATGTTGTATCAATTATGGACTTCTGGTATTTGAATCTTTAACTTTACTACTTTAGGCACTGTATATGCCTAAATGCCATGCCATTTTTGGGTCTGTGATGCATACTACAGTGTCTGACAGAGAACGGCAGCTATGAACTGACTTAAGCCAATTAAGCCATGCACAAGTAATAGGTTCCTTGTGGTAGGTAACCATGGCCCTCTCTGCAAAAAAGTCTTTGAGGTAGGTGGAAATTAGCTACCCCATGCCTTATTTCTAGGTTGTAATGACATACATTTGAGAATAAGTTCTGCCACATAAACATTTATTAAACAAACATTTCTTAGCAAGGAGGCCAAAAAAGTTTACACAATCTGTTCTGTAAAATCAGTACAATCCCAGCAGTTTGTCCTTTAGAGACTTCAGCCATCACTCTGCACGAAAGGTTCAAAAAGGAAGTAGCAGCAACATTCCAGGACAGGGTCTGCTTACTTTATTATCAGTCGAACAACCAGAAATCTTTCTGATCCATGGGTGGACCAAGATTCCTTTAAGGCTCTAAGAGCACACCATTTTCATGGATGGAATTAATTATACTTAGAAGCCTAATTAGCTGATGTTGACTGAGTTCCAAGAAATGAGAGTGAGTATAGTAGCCCCTAAGCAGTGAGGCTTTGTGGACAAGTGGCCAGCTAGAACATGCCTTCTGTGCATTATTAGGGTAACTTACTGCCTCCATAGGTGAATTTTGCACAAAATTGCATGTTCATACTATTTACGTGAAGTCTACTAAAGTGTTTCAATGCAAAAGTGCTCCAAAACAAGAACCCTGACAATTTCTGCTCAGTAAATCACACATTTACCCCGCCGACTAATAATTGATTTAACGCCTACCCCATGTCAGACACTGCTAGACACCCACCAGGATCACAAAGCTGAATAAGATATTGTTCTTACCTTCAAGAAGTTTACAGTCTAGTGAGAGAAACACAAGCAGAGTTATGATTACAGTAGAAAGTGATGAATTCTACAGTAAAGGTACACCCAGGGTGCCAATGGGATCCCAATATATCAGATTCAAGAGTTTGTCTGATTTAACTTTTCAGAAGACATTATTCTTAAGGAGGTATTTGAAGATCAGTATGAATTAATTTAATGCACTAAGTGCAGAAAATAATTTTAGATAAAAGTAGCAGAATAGATATGAAAGCTCAGAGGTTGGAAACCTCACAATCCATTTTAAAAGCTGTTAGATAGTTCAAAATGACTGGAAGAATGTGGGGAATGAGCTGAGTATAGGGAGATGAGCTTAAGAAAACCAGATCTTTTAGGTTTTATGTGTTAAGGTCACAGCTTGAACTTTTCTGAGAGATATGAGGTATCAGGGAAGAATTTTATTCAGGAAGTAATGTATATTGCAAAAGGGCATTCCAACATCAATGGGTTGAAACAGCATTGGGAAGGAGGCAGAGTTGATGAGGGGGAGTACACATGACAAGTGGTAAGAGTTTGAACTAAGGCATAAGCATTGAAAACAGTGAATGAGAGAAATTTAAAGAGCCAATGGATAAATTCAAGAACCAATACACCTGAGACTGAGTGGATAATAGAGAGTGTGAGAAAAATCTAGAATATCTCAGAGCCTTGGCCTACAGCAAGGGTAGTGCCACTCACCCTGTACAAATGACTGACTGGCAGAATAAATAATGATTAAGTGCACAGTGGCTCCAATATGAAGCATTTATTCCTTATTAAGTACATCCAAAAAATCAATTTTCCTCAGTAGTTTATAGAACTTTAAAATAAAAATGGAAGGATATGACAAGAGCTTCTTCTCATGATCAGAAACTAATACATCCATGTCTACTCTGCAGATTCTCTTTGCTCTTCTCTTGCTTGGCTTGTTTTATATATGCTCATTACCTTCTATTTCTTTTTTTAAAGTACTTTCTTTTTTGTAAGCATTTCATGTTTGTCCTTGCTGGTCAACCTGGTAGTGATTACAGATTATCAAGGTACATGTTTTATATCTGCAAGCACTACAAACCATAATCTGATAAAAGCATGTTACATAATCTGCAGTAAACACAGCCTAATGTACACAATTCTCTCCTAACTGATAACAACTTAAACAGGAAGTCAAAAGTAATATGTAAAATAAGATATGATCTATAGCTGTATCAAAATCATGAATTCCTCTAAGTGACTTCCTCTCTGCAGAGTCACTGGTTCATTAGCACATATATTTATATACTATAAAATTTAAAACAGGGACATACATTTTTAACTATACTATAATTGCTCCATCATTCAAATATGTATGTCCTTTCCATTAAAAGTTAGCTTAAAATTCCTATATAATATCCCTTGTCTTTTTAATAAAATGTGAGTTTTTCCTTAAAATTCCCTAAACTTTTATTTTTAAAATGTAAAAATAGAAAAATCAATATATACAATTCCATAAACAGTATGGTTAACTGAGAAAGCAATTATATAGCATACAAGCAAGTAACTTACAAAGATATAGAGATCTATAAAATATACATAACTGTAAAATTCATGTAACAACATTACAACATATAATGTAATATTTTAAAGTTTTCAAAAGGTCTTTTAGAATTACAAAGACTATTAAGCATAGGATTTCAAAAGTCAGTTGTGTTGTGGATGTTTGAAATGTCACTTCTCTTAAATGCTCTTTTATTAAGTTTAATACTAAATAACAGGTTTTACTATACCAAAATCAAAGAAGTATGCAGGCAGTGAGGCAAATCCAAAAGCAGAATGATTTACTGTGTCACCAATTCTAACAAAATACACCAAAAAACATCTCATAAGTAGAGATATTTCCTACAAATAACCACATGTGAATGCTTATATTAGGAAGATTAAGATGACTATTAGGAGTATGCTGTCATGTTAACATGTTACATTCCAAAAGTAGCTTCCCATTTTTTTTACGGTATAACAGACTACACAGTTTCTGATTATAGAAACAGAAAAATATGACATGCCAACATTAAGAATAGGTTTCTTAAGAACTAAATAAAAATTATCAATGAAAAACGCACTATATGCATATTGAGCACCTCCAGTATTAGTCATTTTTAACAAGAACAATTTGTATGGTTTCAGATTTCTATAGTTGGATAAATTTTTCCAAGAAAAAGATATGTGACAAAAATAGTGTTATAGACTTATTTCTGCCAAAATGTCTTCTAGCATATTGTTTTAATTTTAATAACCAAATTTTTTAAAAAGTCAAGAAATAAAGAATTTAGCCAGTGAAAATAGCACTAAGAGGTTTACACATATTTTCCCTCTCATATCTTAGTACTAAGTTTTAGTACTTTCTCAAATCTTGAAAAGCGCAACTTTGAATTTGTTGGGTACACATGTATCACACTTCTCATGTTGCTGCCAAGTACAGATGGATACAGTGATGTCTAAAGTCATATTCTACAAAGTAAATATTTTCATTTTTGAATCACTTATTTTTTCTAATTTATGTTACATTAACATAGAAAATTTAATTATGAAGTTGGAAACAACTCATAAAGTTGTCTCTTTTCTCTGCATTCCCAGGAAGAAATGACTAGCAAAGAATTTAGAAAGAATGACTACAATACATGTAACTATTAAATAACATATATTTAGAAGGAAATGTTTCAATTGTTTGTTATACAAAAAGAGATGTTTAGAATATGATACATTCATTTTAGGATACAAAATATGCTTTCACATTTTAGGCAATAATTACTGAACTATTCCTTAGATTCATATTTGCAACAATACACTTTTAGGATCTTTGTTTAAAAAGATAATGTATTGATCTTAATAAAGAACATTTCCCATTCATATTGTATTGTTTCTAGCTAAATAACAATTGTATGCTGGTAAAAAGGATGCTGTTTTAAAACAGAATAAAAGAACAAATACAACTGGTCATTAGAAAAACTACATTGTGCTCTATTTAACCAACAACAGTACATAATTTAGAAGACAAAGATTTACAAGACAAGTCAGTATTTAAATGAGCATCATAGGGGTAAACCTCCATCATTCTAAATATTCTATATACAGAAAACATCTATAATCACACTGCTTGAAACATTTCTCTTGCATATCCTTTAATATATTCATATGTTAAAAACACGTTGAATTATTTCACTGGCTTTAGGCCCAATTCTAATTTATCAAATTGACAATGGTGGCAAATATATTCTGAGGAAGAGATAGCTAAAAACAATGTGAAAGGACAGGAAACTTGGTTAATAAATACATGCTGCCATATTGTTTGATGCAGATGTAACTTTCCTATTGAAGTTAATAAAAAATGACCTCTAAAATATATGCAAGATAAGTAATAAACCAAAAAGACACCTTTACAAATGCATGAACATGTGAGCAGGCATATACATGTACAAACACTCACATGCCACTACATCTATCCTTCTGGATAGTTCTTTCCAGGCTCAACGAAAAAAAAAAAAAAAACAGAATAAAGGAAGTCCTAGGAAAATATATTCCAGTGTTTGATCAACCTTTACACTGAAATCATCTCTCCAATAAAATGCTTAGTGCTGATGACATATGTATTATTAAAGACTAAATCCCCCATGGAGTACGCAAGATGGTAACAAAATCTTCATCATCTATTATTTCTATACTTAAACCTTCATAGTAATCTTCAAATTCACCATACGAAACTTCATCAGACTTGCTGCAGGCAACTTTTAACGTTTCTAGAAAGGATGATTTAATTTCTTCCTCTGTTGAATGGCCTGTAAAATAGTACTGAGTATGAAACAGTTTCCTAAAAAGTTCAGTGAAATGACTGATGATGATAAAGGAATACTTAATCATCTTATGAAATACATGCAACAATTTGAAATCTTTTGTCAAACTACCAGCCAATTTATTTACACATGAACTGGAATTATTTCATCTCATTCAATTTGCCACTCCTTCCCTGCCCCCTGCTCTCCTGCACTGATCTATCTCCAGGATCCTAGCATAGAACACAATTTTTTTTATCATAAAATTTTAAAAAGAACAGAGGAATTGAAAGATGAAAGGAAGCTATAGTGACTGGTCAGATAACACTGAAAAGAGAATAAACAGAGGCCCATATACCATAGCAGAAAAGGGGTCAAAAAAACTTCTATGTGACCCTCTAAAACGTTTTTTTTGTTGTTGTTTTTTATTATACTTTAAGTTCTAGGGTACATGTGCACAACGTGCAGGTTTGTTACATATGTATACATGTGCCATGTTGGTGTGCAGCACCCATTAACTCGTCATTTAAATTAGGTATATTTCCTAATGCTTTCCTTGCCTTCTCCCTCCTCCTCCCTCTCCACAATAGGCCCAGGTGTGTGATGTTCCCCTTCCTGTGTCCAAGTGATCTCATTGTTCAATTCCCACCTATGAGTGAGAACATGTGGTGTTTGGTTTTCTGTTCTTGCGATAGTTTGCTGAGAATGATGGTTTCCAGCTGCATCCATGTCCCTACAAAGGACACAAACTCATCCTTTTTTATGGCTGCATAGTATTCCATGGTGTATATGTGCCACATTTTCTTAATCCAGTCTGTCACTGATGGACATTTGGGTTCATCACTCGCCATCAGAGAAATACAAATCAAAACCACAATGAGAATTAAAAAGTCAGGAGACAACAGGTGCTGGAGAGGATGTGGAGAAATAGGAACACTTTTACACTGTTGGTGGGACTGTAAACTAGTTCAACCATTGTGGAACACAGTGTGGCGATTCCTCAAGGATCTAGAACTAGAAATACCATTTGACCCAGCTATCTCATTACTGGGTATATACCCAAAGGATTATAAATCATGCTGCTATAAAGACACATGCACACATATGTTTATTGCAGCACTATTCACAATAGCAAAGACTTGGAATCTAAAATGTTTTAAAGTCAGGTTATGTTTTAAATAACAGGCTTAGATGGGAATACCACTCAAACCGTTTGTCTAATGGGGTGGACAAAATTAAGGTGAGAGTTAATTTTTTTCCCTCAAACCAGAGGTTCTTTAATGGACATAGACAATAATGCATTGCAAAGTGTCTTCCAAACTAAAGGAATGAAATCTGCTTTGAATATTAAGAAGTTTGCTTTCTTTTAAAAACATATACAAGAAATAGAGAAAAAGTGATTATTCTATAAAATACAAGTTGAATGTTGAAAGACTGAAAATGATGCTACATAGAGATGGTAATATAAAATAATAAAATGAAGTTTTAATTGAATGGTAGTCAAGGTTAAAAATTAATCAGGATCCCATCTATATAAAAACAAATTTTGGTAGAAATTTCCCTCTTTGTTTACCATCCATACTTTTGAACAGAGGAGTTTTAACACAATTTTTATCTGAGAAACATTTTTCACTCTGATTTATATTTCAAATAGTGAAGAATTTCATACCTCCTTTATATCCCTCACCCAGGAAATACCTACCTCCTATCATCTATAACTGAATTTTTTTCAGTCCTCTCGGAGACTAGAAAATATTTACAGCAACAAATGTTATATTTCTAAAACTATTACATAGAAATATATTTGGGATATCCCATTTATATTAAACCTTAAAATACTTTTTTTCTAATATATTACTTAAGCAAATTTAAGAAGGAATATTTTCTATAGTTAAAATTAAATTGTATGTGGTATAAGAGCCTTACCTTGAAATTAATTGTAAATTGTGAACAAACTATATCCCAGAGGTGGGCATATGAATAGATTATAATTTGCAATAATAAATAATAATGGGGTACTTTTTTTCTTCTTTGAAATACAGTGACAAGTTTTCTTCTATTTAGGAATATTTAGCTTACCTATTGTCATTCTTAATGTGAACGCAAAGACAAATTATGGAATTTCTGAAACCAAGAAAGGCTTTCCCAACAACAAAAATAAAACCCTCATCAAAAATTCCATGAAACGTAATAAACCTGAAGCTATTTTAGCAACCTAATTAATATTATTAGATGAGAAAAGAGAAAGAGAAAAAATATATGGTGTTAAACTATTCCGTTCTTATATTTAGTATGACTAAGAGAAAGAAACAGACAATGACGTGTTTAAAGGAAAAAAATACACTAGCACCAATTAAATATACACTAGAAATTCTCTTAGAGTAGCTGTAATTTATTTAATGTCATGAATAAGCAAATTAAACTATTTCGACCAGAAATAGGTAATTAGAAATTTGGAATCCAGTGATGATTAGCTTTAATCTTCATAACCAAATCTCACGTTTTTCATTTCATAATTAAAAGTGACAAATTAACCATATATAAGAGTTAATGATGATAAGAAACCAAAGTAATTACAGTGTTTCTCTTTTAATAGTAAGGAATAAAATTCTAAAAATAATAGTATTCTATAATATTTAGCAGTACAGAATTAAAGTTATAAGTTGAAAAGAAATTATTGTAAAATATGGTCAATAAATATTCCTTAAAGATGGACAATCAATAAATGTACAAATATATGTTTAACCTCCCTAGTAATGAAGGAACTCCAAATAAAATGTTTTTTTTTTTTAACCTATCAGATTGGCAAAGTGAAAGTTTTTGGCAAAGTTGTGGAGGAAAAGAACTCTTCAACAAATGGCTATATAATCTAGTATAGTCATTTTACAATGTCATTTGGAAGTATCACTTAAAATTTTAAATGCAGACATCCCAGTAATTCTAGGTATTAATATCACTCCAGGGAAGCAGTAGAAAACAGGCCTGAAGAGTCACAAATAAGCGCATTTATTGCTTCATTAGTTGTTGATCAATAATTAGAACTTAAAATCTAACAATAAAACAATGGCTAGGTAAATGATAGTATATTGATTTATAAAAAGAATAATATACTGCAAGATAAAAAATAACGAGGCTCAATGTAGATTAATATATAAAGAACTCCAAAACATACTGGTGAGTGTAAAAAGCAAATTATATAACATTCTCTTCAGTGTACCTTTCATGTCAAAAAAACTTCAAAAAGTATTAAATATTTATAGTATGCACATAGCCATGAAAATTCATAGAATAAGTAAAATTCATAATGTATTAGCTGAAATATATATGCTAAATGGTAATTTTGACTTCTATGGAAGGAAATGTAAAGAGGAGAGTTGTGGTCGAATGCTTTCTTTATAAAAAGGATGTACTTATAAAACAATTATGTAAAAAAGTTAGAAAAAATACAGTAGGATATGAATCTCTAGAGTTACTTTATGGAATTTACAATATCCTCAAATTTTGATATATGTACATTCATTCTATGTATAGCTCCATCCCTAGAGAAAGACACTCCTTCATTTCGCTTAAATCCTTAAGTATGGATAACTATATAAGAAGATATAGAAATAACTCTGAGAACCTGCATATGTATTTATCTATTTTCTAAAGCTATTTCATTCTTTTTAACTTAAATCCCTTACTATCTCCTAAATAGGAAATGAGTTCTATATTGATAATAAATATCAAATAAACAAACAAGTACAGGCAATAGACCTAAGAACTATTAAATGAAGAAAGGCAAATAGTTCTTAAGTTTCTGGTTCAAAAAAATAGTTTATTTCCCCCCCCAATGCCTCAATCTAAGGTTTAAATTAATATAAAGATATTATCTTTAAGTAATATTTTCAAAGTCCAATACATTTTGACTCCGAATAATTACCTGAAATTACTTGAGAATGCTTCTTTGCACAGTAACATTTTCTTATGTTTGTAATAGGCACACTGCCAGTTTTGTTGAAATCCAGTTTCATAAAGGCCTAATAGACAAATGTTATTATTATTAGTTTGTTGGTTGGTTGGTTTGTTTTGAGACAGAGGCTCACTCTGTCACCCAGGCTGGAGTGCAAGATGTGATCTCAGCTCAGTGCAATCTCCTCCCAGGTTCAAGCGATTCTCCTGCCTCAGCTTCCCCCTCAGCTGGGACTACAGGCGCCTGCCACCAGGCCCAGCTATTTCTGGTATTTTAATAGAGACGAGGTTTCGCCATGTTAGTCAGGCTGATCTCGAATTCCTAACCTCAGGTGATCCACCCGCCTCGGCCTCCCAAAGTGCTGGGATTACAGGTGCGAGCCACCATGCCCAGCCTGACAAATGTCATTTTTTAAGTAAAATTATTAGACATAGGAATCTAATTTTCTATTTTATAGTAGGTTATTTCTGAGCTATAAACACGGCATTTTAAAAGTACTATACTGATATATGAAAGAACCGTTATAAATACAGGAGAAAAAGATAGTGAAGCAAGATACTAGGAAATCTGTACTCAATTAGAAAGTTCTACCACTTTCTAGCATCCTGACCTTGAGAAAGTAACCTGACCTCTATTTCCATGGCCTCTCTCCCCTGAAAACTGAAGAGATGGGTAAAAGACCTCTCAGGTAACTTCCAGCTCTAGGATTTGTATAAATGGCCAAAAGAGATTGCCAAGACGAATATTTTAACTAAAGAAGTGAATTTGCAAATATTTCCTCCCTAAAATCAATGAAAAAGTGAAATACTTTTTAAATGAGTTATGTTACTCTATTTCTTGAAATTTAATACACTTTTTAAAATGTAGTTGTGTTATTGTTCCTCTAATTCAGTGTAGCTCTGAGTATCATAAGATATCATGAAATATTTCATTGGAAGAGTATTCACTACTTAGAAAGACACAAGCTACCCAAAGCAACATTCTATATTTGCAGTGGGGTCAAAACTACAATCAAGTCTGGTTATTCACAATATTGCATTCACAGAAGTATGGAAGCTGTTGTAGACTGACTTGTGTTCCTCCAAAATTCATATGTTGAACCTAATCCCAGCAGCTCAGAAAATGACTGTATTTCAAGGTAGGGCCTTTGAAGGGATAATTAAGTTAAAATGAAATCATTAGGGTGGCCCCTTATCCAATATGACTGGTGTCTCCTTATAAGAAGGCAGTAGGGCCAGGCACGGTGGCTCACGCCTGTAATCCCAGCACTTTGGGAGGCTGAGGTGGGTGGATCACCTGAGGTCAAGAGTTCAAGACCAGCTTGGCCAACATGGCGAAACCCTGTCTCTATTAAAAATACAAAAAGTAGCCAAGCATGGTGGCACATGCCTGTAATCTCGGCTACTTGGGAGGCTGAGACAGGATAATTGCTTGAACCCAGAAGGGGGAGGTTGCAGTGAACCAAGATCACACCACTGCCCTCCAGCCTGGGCAACAGAGCAAGACTCCATCTCAAAAAAATAAATAAATAAAAGACAGTAGGACACAACACAGACAAAGGGAAGACCATGTGAGGACACAGAGAACAGGCAGCCATCTGCAAGCCAAGGAGAGAGGCCTCAGAAGAAACCAAACCTGCTGACACCTTGTTTGGGAACTTCTAACCTCCAGAGCTATGAGACAATAAATTTCTGTTATTTCAGTCACCTAGTCTGTAGTATTTTGTTATGGCAGCCCAAGCAAACTAATACAGAACTGCATAACACTTCTCTTGCCCTCTGTTCCCATTACCAAGATTTATGAAAGATACAAGTCTCCAATTTCGATTCCAGATTCTCAAACCTATCACCAGGAAGGACATGGAAAGCATGAATAAGTACACATTTATAAATATTATGTGGTGAATTTGTCTAATTTAAGGTTTTTACTGTGTCTCTTGCCCAGTAGAGACTAATTTCTGTATTTGAGATTTATATAATTATTTACATTATATAGAATAGCTTTGTTTCAATATTAAGTACATATACAAAAGGAAAAAAAGGTAACTACGTTGCTCAAAAGTATGATCCAAAAAATGGCTACCAAAACTCAAGTAATACGTAGCTTCCTATTAAAGTCAGTACTCCTGTTTTTAATTCCAATTTAACATGATTATTCTAATTTACAAGTTAATATTTATCATGCATATTCTAAACACCAGAGAAACATTTTTTAGTCATCATCCTAAAACAAAATGTCTGGAGTATTGACACTGGAACAGCCACAATGCTAAGAATTGTATATGCATTATCTTATTCCATCTTTACACCAATTCTATGAGAAAGGAAACTGAGGCTTAGGAATATTTTATAATACATATATTCACATAGCTAGTAATTTATGGAGGCAACAACTTATGGAGCTAGTAATTTGTTAACCAAAATTTCATTTCAAATTTTATTTTCCCCTCATAGTATTTCTCTAAAATATATACACAAGTTATTTTGCTTCATTCTGGGTCGATTTGTATGCATATGGACTTGTTTTCTGTTTTACTAAACCCAACATATGTTACAAGTAAATAGATTTAAAACATTTTAAATGGTAATTCATTAAACTTTTAAAATACTGAACCTAACAATCTATTAAAAATAACAATTTGAAAGATTACTTAACAAAGTTACCTTTCGAACATATGATTTCCTATATTCATTCATTTCACCAATAATACCACGTTTGAATTCTCCATAATCAGCCTTACCATTGCCATGGTCATCCAGAATTAGCCATGCAGACTCAAAATCCTAGAAATAATCAGAGATAACTGTTGCGATTTTAAGTTATATATTGTCACAACAAAATCATCTTAGTTGTATTTTGTTACATCTTCTGTAGTCCTAGATACGATAACTCATTTAATAAGAAAATTGAGGAAGTTACATAAAAATCCAATCAAAGCCACTAAAAAAGTGATTCACAGGAACCTATGGTAAATGGTTCTGTAAAGTTAGGAGCCATTTAGGAGTGGCAATAGCTCACAAATTTATCTTTTTTAAGTTTTATTTTTGATGGACAAATAACAATTGTATATAGTTATAGGGTACAATATGATATTTCAATACATGTATTTCAATACATGTGTATATTGTAGAATAATACAGTCATATCTATCATCTTAAATATTTATCATTTCTTTGTGATGAGAACATTTAAAATCCTCCCTTTTAGGTATTTTGAAGTATACATTATTATAAACTATAATTACCATGCTGTGCAATAGATCACCCAGAACTTAATCCACTGTGTAATGAAAACTTGTACCTTTTGACCAATTTTCTATTTTCCTTGTATACTAACCCCCTTCCCCATGCTCTGGAAACAAATTTATCTTTTCAACTTTATTTCTATATCTATACATCTACCTACATAGAGATATATAGATATCTGTGTGTGTCTGTGTATGTGTGGTTACCATTTACTCAATTTTAAACATTTAAATACTTTTAATGTATTATATCTGTGTTAATTCAAAAGTCACATTCGGTCCTGGAGTGCTTCCAATGGCATTATAACCACTAATTATATTTCTGCTAGTCTTCATGCTTGAAAATATAGATTTGAATGACTCTAATATCATTCTATAATTTACACTGAAAGGTATAATTTTGAGTAAGTCCCTTATGCCACTTTATTCACTTTGCCATTACATTACCATTTACTTCTTCAGCAAATGCACTACTTAATAGAAAGTTCTAACACAGTTTTCCTTGACAACAAAGAAATTACAGCATCATTTTCCCAAACTCAACTAAATATATTTTTTCAATGTTTTAATCAAGTTGTTACCTTTAAATGTGAATGTAGATAAAATACCTAACAAGGTGCTTAGCAAATAATAGGTACTCAAAAAATATCATTTTCCACTCCCTCCTTTTGTTTTCAAAGAAAACTTTAACTAGAAAAACAATCTAAAGATGCCTGCCTTCCCTCAGTTCTCGACAACCCCATACATCTTTGTCTATCATAATGTACTGCACATTATGCAGACTTTAAGCGTCTGTGCATTTAAACTGAAGATGAGCTTGACCTTTAAAATCATGAGTAATATGCACAGGAGAAGACCAATTTGCTCATCCAATTCATGGATTACTAGAATTGAAAGATACTTCTTAAAGCTTAAAAGAAATAATTTTCAAGATTTGAGTAATTTAACATAATCGTCAACAAGAAATACATATTTATATTTATATATACTTAAGAGATATACATATATATACTCTTTCTTTCAAAGATATGGTACACAATGGAAAATAATTACATTGAAAAAGAGCTGAAGGAAATCACTGATAGTATCTCTATATAAATTAGGCTTTTTAGGGTACATGTCAATTTTTTTTAATCTCAAATCAGGGAGAATGGCTGACTATGCCTTCCCACAAACATTCTCTAGTTTCAAAATTAGACCTAGGTTAGTGATTCCTAAGTTCTTCTTCTCGAGCTGTTTGTATGTGCTTATCATTGCATGAGCAGTTTACAGTGATATTACAGAAAAAATATAAAATACTATTAAAATATATGAGAAAAGGAGGACGCGTGCTCATATTTTCAAAATATGTTCCCTCTATGTTAGAAGTCTTATATAATTACTACAGTTTTTGTTCCTAGACCTAATCATAACAATTTAGCAAATTAATCAAAAAGGGAAGTATTGTTATGATACAGAAAAAGTACTAGACGGGAACATATTAACTGGGTTCTAGTCCTACATCAGCTATTAATTACTTGTGATTTTATAAACACATACACACACAAGCACATATACACACACGCAAGCACACACACACACATATATATACATATATATTATATATATGATTTCATCCATAGGCCCAGTTTATAATTCCCATTGCCCTTCCTTGTTCTTGTTACAATCTTTTATTATAATATTAGGGCACTTTAGGCCTCAGAAAATGGAATCTCTCTCTCTCCCTCTCTGACCTTCTCCTGCCCTTCTTTCACCTGCTCTTTTCCCTCTTCAAGGCAGGAATCATCTCCTGCCTTTCTGTGTTGGAGCTGGCCATAAAAAATTCTCTGACCTACCTTGTCTAATTGTAGGCCATAAGACCCCCATTTCAGAAGGGGTCCTGCCCCCACCATGGAGGAAGGAATGCTGCACAGAGGCCAAGAAGAGTCTGAACAGGCATTCCTTACTGGGTTTCCTTCTTCAGTCTATCAGTATTAGGTCATACACTTTTGTCCAATCACATTTCTACACAGTTGTCCATGTATCAGTCATGTCTATCCAATGTAGTCTCCATAGAAAAGTCAAGAGGACAGGGTTCAGGGAGTTTCTGGGTAGCTAAGGTTGTGGAGGTTCCTGGAGGGTGGCACCCAGGGAGGGTATGAAAGCTCTGCACTCCTTTCCCCATACCTTGCCCTATTCATCTCTTCATCTGTATCCTTTGTAACATCCATGAGAATAAACAGGTAAATATAAGTTTTCCTGAGTTTTGTGAGCTGCTCCAGCAAATTAATTGAACCCAAGGAGCGGGTCGTGGAAACCCCAAACTTGAAATTAATTGACTACAAGTTCCAGGGACCCAAACCTGTGACTGGTGCCCTATGCAGAGTGTGTTGGGGGCAGGGGTTGTCTTGTAGAACTGAGATCTCACCCTGTGGGATCTGAGTTTATCTCTAGGTAGATAATGTCAGAATTGAATTGAATTAGAGGCTGTCCACTGGGTTTCTACTGCTTAGTATGGGTGGAACCCCCACATGCATTTGGTTGCAGAAGTATTCTGTGTTGATTATTGCTGTGTGAAAGCAGAGGAAACATAGTTTGTGTGATTTTTCCATTCTCACTCATGTGATTGTAAGCAAAGACATTAAGGTTTTCTAATTTCCTATTGTTGCTTTATTATTGTTGTTGTTGTTGTTGTTTTAATCTACAAAAGGAAGAGGGGAAGTTAGATGATCCCTAGTATGTATCACTAGGTGGGCAAAAGATTAAACATCATAAAAACCAAAAAGATGGGTATGTCAGAACAATGTTAGGCAACATGATATTAGCACAGAATTGTACAGCTGATATGGCAGATTCCCATGTAATTTTCTCATTTGAGCTTCCAAGCAACTCTAACAATAACAATTACCTCTGGATTGCTCAGGCAGAGCCCCCCAATCAAAAAAGTTAAAAGACTGGTCCAAGATCATACAGTTCAAATAGTAAAGCCAGAACTTGAACCTAAGTGTCCTAAGTTCAATTTACAGTGTTCTTTCTACAAAATACACATCTTGTGACAAGATCATTTGAAGCAAAAGAGAACAGTGCAAGAGATCCTTTATCTGAAATCCTTGAGACAAATGTGATTCATATGCTTTTAGAATAAAACCCAATCTTCTTAGTATGACGTGCAAGACTTTAATGTACCAGACGTTTCTCTCCATTCTTCTCTTTTCCTTCCTTCCATAAATTTATCCATTCAAACTAACGCATTATCTGCTTAACTTTCCATATGCTGGGTTCTATTTCAGATGTTAGAAAAAGAGCAGGAACACAAAAACACTCTGGTCCCCACCCTGATGAGACTTAATGATTTACTTACAGGCAGAGCCAGAAAATACTTACAAAGTGGCAGGAAAAAAAAAATGATAATAAAAGGAGAAATTGGTATCGAAAGGACCAAAGATCAAATGGGAGTGCTCCTTTAGACAGAAGTGTCAGGGTAATGCTCTTGACAGAGAAAGCTGTGGCTTGAATGCTAAGAAAACCCAGCAAGCAAAGATCTAGTAGATTATTCATAGTGGAGGGAACAGTATGTGTGAAGATTATTAATCATTTGCAGTGTCAGAAACAGGCCACACTCCTTCCTCTCCAAGCTTTCACATATGTGTCTCCTTTTCATAAAATACACATTGTCTGATTCACACTCCTCTTTCGCCCTTGTCTGGTTAACTCTTCCTCAACCTTCAAAACTCAGCTTAGATGTATCCTCCTCCAGGCATCCTTCCATGATCTTTGTTCTCCTTCCCTAGAACCTGTCTTGGAATCAGGTATCTATCCCATGTGTTCCAAAAACATTCTCCATTGAATACATATTTTGTTTTATGTTCATTTTCCTTCAATTACAGTGATCTCAAGAGTACAGAGTATTATCTCAGAGCTTAGCACAATGCCTGGTTATTAAGCTCTTTATAAATATAGGATGGAACAATATTTAAACTTTAAAAACCAACAGGGCTTGTCACCTGATAGCTTAACACTGATAACAGGGCATAGAGGAGAAAATAAATGAAAACTAAAATTTCAGTAGAACAGTGAATAATGCCACCTAAGAATAACATATTATCTGCTGCAGAGAATTTTCTGTGGCACATACCTTTTCAGACACTTCTAAGTGAAACACTTTTAGAGCTTCCTTAAAATCTGCCTTATCTAAAAGTCCATTTCCTTCCTTGTCCAACTGTTGAAAGTATTTTCCCAATCCAGTCAAAATACGAACACCTCTTTTATGTAGTTTTTCTTTTAGCACATCTGTTCAACAAGAGAAATGAAAACAAATTGTTCCTATGCATAAATGTATAAAGCCGCAGTTATCTTTCATAAGAAAATTAAAGTTGATGTAACTGAAATCAGGAATTCGTGAATATTCAAACAAATCAAATGTAAGACAAAAGACTTTGGAAAATAGGATGTTGTTAATCAAGAGGATTAGCTATAAAATCACATGTAAATATGCCAGAACAATAGCACCACTGTGTGGTGGAAGTGTTATATTTTTAAAACAGAAAAATACAGTTTCACTTTATCACCAAGAGAATAACCTAAATATTACAAATAAAATCTTAGATTTTGTTGCGTAGACAACCTCTTTAACCACCCCCATATCTTTAATCTGTTTTCCTTTTCTTAGTTTTTATCAACTGAATTGCAAAATTGATGACAGTCAAGTAATTCACAAATTATCAGTTCAACATTTTAAAAATAGTTTGAAATCTTCAAATTGTAACTTGTATATAAAATAGCATCAAGGCTTTTGAATTCTATCCTACACTTACATATTTCATAAGAGGTTATTTGCTTAGATCCCTGTCATTCTCTTTGTAGCTGTTATTTCACTTACTGTGCTTTGTACCATATTTACTTAAGAATAGATTGGTAACTTCACTAAAGCAGTTATTAGATATAATACATGAGAGAAAAAAACAAATGTCACTAAGTTCAATTGTGACAAATACTGTATTGACTATGATATAATAGAGAAAACTGTTTACAGACTTTGGCATCAAGAACATTTGAGAGTCCAAACAAAACTTTTCAAATCTGTTTCTTGCCTTCTTACTGTGAGCGCCTTATCTTTAAAAGATAAATCAGGAGTCATGAAAATTCATACATTAGGTCAAGTGTGATGGCTCATGACTATAATCCCAGCACTTTGTGAGGCTGAGATGGGAGGATCACTTGAGCCCAGAAGTTCCAGACTACCCTGGAGAGCATAGCAAGACCCTGTCTCTACAAAAACAGAAAAAAAAAAAAAAATTTAGCCGGGTGTGATGGCATGCACCTGTAGTCCTGGCTACTCAGGAAGCTGAGGCAAGGAGGGTCACTTGAAACCAGGAATCTGAGGTAAGCTGTGATTGTGCCACTGCACTCAAGCCCGGGCAAAGGAGCAAGGCTCTCTCTCTCAAAAAAAAAAAAAAAAAAAAAAAAAAAGTTCATAAATTACATGTTAACTTCTGTGATTGCTTGTTTAATACCTTTCTCCATTTTAGACTATGAGATCCAACAGAGTAACTGTCTAATCGAGTCTACTATACTGCATCTTCCAAAATTTGGAAAATGTTTTAGTATCCAAAACTGAAATATATCTAATTTATCACCCACAACAACCCTGGAAATTTAATAAGAGAAGTATTATCATCCCTGTTTTAGAGATGAGGAAAGAGATGCAAGGGATTTCTCCAAAGTCATGTGTGTCTTGAACAACAGAGTCCAAACATGAATCTGGCTCCCAATCTTGCATTTTTTTTCTTTTACGCTAGGACATCACAGACTTCTTCAAGATATTATGTAATATATGACAAGTATTATATTACAAAAATTACTTTTACATTTCATTCAGCTTATGAGTAAAACCCATATTATCTAGTAATTTCTAAAACACTTAATTTTATAATTCATATAATACTAGTTAGGACCATTAAAGTAAGAAAAATCTTAAAACGTTTAGAAATCCTAAACAATAAAAGTATGTATGTATACTTTTTTAAATAAGCAAAGGGTAAATATAAATCAAGTGCCACTGAGAAGTATCTGGAAAAATGTTGTTTTACTGATTATAAAAAAAAAGGATCAAAAATTCAAAGTACTTGAGAGTATAGTAATAACACATACCTTGAATTGCCTTGAAGACCAGCCTATCATTGGTTTCTTGAATAACTATATCATCCTCCTGGTCCATAGAAGCAGTTCTGCAACTGTCTCTTATACACATCTAGATGTGTATAAGAGACAGGTGTTATAGCAAAGGCAAATTAATAAGGTATCTTTAACATAAAAATGAATATTTTAAAATATTTGATTGATTATAACTGTTCCCACACATGAAGTGTATTTGAGTACGAGATAGTACATAAAATAGACACACGTAGCTCTGCTTGTTTTTTAAAAATATAAACCTTAGCGAAGTTATAAATACCTTGCAGTAGAATGTCATTTTAAGATAATTTAAAAATAGTGTTTTCACCTGCTTCAAAATGCCAAATGCATATTTAACTTACTTGAGAGAATCCAAAGCTATTTGATCAATATGTGTGATTCGGAGTTTAAGAAATGTGTTTTCTTTCATGCTTTCTGGAAGGCTGGCATGATCAGAACTCAAAAATGTCAAAGTTGCACCCTAAAGAAATGAACAGATGAATGAAGCTAGAAAGTATATAAGAAATAAAATACAACTAACATTAATTTAAAATAATTGATTTTGATTAATGTGACATGATGTACCTTAATAATGGTAAAAAAAGTATATTATAAAACTCTAAGCTCTTCCCTGCTCCAGACTCAAAGAAACTCTCATACTTGGAAGAGTGCTTAGAATTTAATCAAGTCTCAACTCTGCCTTCTGCTTTGATGCCCAAGAAGATTAAATTGAGAGCTAAAATCCTTAAAATCTTATAAGGACTACTTGTAAACATTCTTGGTCTTTGTTTTGTTTTGTTTGTTTGTTTTTTGAGACGGAGTCTCGCTCTGTCACCCAGGCTGGAATGCAATGGCGCGATCTGGGCTCGCTGCAACCTCCACCTCCCAGGTTCAAGAGATTCTCCCACCTTAGCCTTCTGAGTAGCTGGGACTACAGGCACCTGTCACCATGCCTGGCTGATTTTTGTATTTTTTAGTAGAGATGGGGTTTCACCATATTGGCCAGGCTGGTCTCGAACTCTTGACCTTGTGATCCGCCCACCTCGGCCTCCCAAAGTGCTGGGATTACAGGAGTGAGCCACTGCACCTAGTCAACATTCATTTTTGTAACAATTTTAATGTTTTAAATATTTAATTAAAACTATTAAATTTAAAAGCAATTTTACCTTGCAAAGCATAAGATGAAAAAATGTTATTTTTAAAAGCCCCCTCAAATGCGTTCATTTTTAGCAATATAGTAAATGATGAACACAGACTTCTTAGAGCCACTTTGTAGGATATAGCCTCTAACATATATATATAAAATCACGGGAAT